GGGGGGTCTCACCTGGGGTGAGAGGTCGATCGTATTTTTTATTCTCTGACTCACCCCGGGAGAGGATAACCACTTCCTTCCTCTAGATCTAAATCTCGCAAATAACCAAACAATCTCGAGAACAGAAACCGTTACGAGAAATAGATATCAAGTTTGTTTATTTTCCAGAGTGTTCTGAGAAAGTCACTTCGTAAAGTATACTATAGCGGCCCTTTACTTTACTTCGCTCACTTTGAATTCCGTTACAACAATCCAGAAGAGATAGAAGTTGAAGGCACACTTGTCTGACGATTAAAAAAATTGTTAGACAAGACTTAATTAAATGAAATCTTGGCCTCCTATAGTTATATTATAGTCTAGCCTAGGGGCCTACTTCCGTTCTAAAGATTCTATGTTAGCGTGATGGTACCGCAGATTAGGACAGGTTGAAATCATTCACTGGTCAAAACTTTTCAAAGCTGAAGTCATGAATTTCATAGAAGTAGAAGAACTGGGGCCTAGATCTATATCCAGAATCTAGATCTAGATCTAGATCTAATAGATTTCTTTATTCACATTTTTGCTGACTTCAGGTAATCTAGGGCAGGGTGCTAAAGTTGGGGTATGGTGGTTCGTTTTCCTGGGAAACCCTAACCCAAACCCTTGCCTTCCTTGTCCGGTCCTCGGCCTTATCTGTAGATCTATAGACTATAAATAACACGTGCAGATATCTCTTCTAAGTTACCAAAAAGACAGAAATCTAGATAGATGTTCTAGAGGTAGAGACAAGCAGTTTTTTCGGTGATTTCATCACTCACCTGCAGGGGAAAAGTTGCACTTTTATTCCCCACGTAGCCGGACACAACAGAACTTTGAATGGAAAGAACTCTTTTTTCTGGCGTCACTGACATCGTAGAGAATGTAAGTTTCTTAGACACTAATGATGCAAACGCTTGCTCTTTTTCAGGTACCAATGGGATTCTAGAGCTCGCTCATCCGATACGTACAACAATGCTCTGGACACTCAACAACTAGCACGTTCTCTTGTCTCCTTGTCCCTGTATGCCTGCCTAATGCCTACTTGTCAATAATACTATGAACGAGTTATGCAGTGTAGTGTACTGCCGGCATTACAATGTACACAATAAACGATAAACTCTTTCTTTTAAGCTATGGTATTTTATTTTTACACAGTTTGTATTAATATTTCTAATGAGTCCCCCTCCCCCATCCACCCCGATCGATGGTATGATATGATGTTTAAAACCAAGGTGGATGGGGAGAGTGGGTGAATGTAAGATGGGGAGAAAAACAAAAGTATTGGTCAATTTAGCACTTTCTGCTATTTGAATCATTAATTATTGCTGTGTGGTTGGTATAAAATAAGTGAGCTATTTTAGCCGACATTATACTACTTAATAATTACTTTCAGCATTAGCCTACCCTAGTTTTTTTCATGTGTGGTGAATTTTAAACTCTTCAAAGCGGCTCTACTTTGGCTTTAGACCTGACAGAAAGTTATTATCAATTATCTTCCTATATACATGGCAGTTAATGTCAACTTCAAATTGTTAATGTCCTTGCAATAAAACAACCAAGGGACAGCGCTCATCCAGAGAAGTACAACAATAATATCTTGTCTTATCATACAACCAGAGGTGCAATTTTATGAACTTTGGATGTAGTGCTTCTTAAGAAATTTAACGTAGCCTACATAGGCCCTCATGGCTCTTGTCGTTTATGCAGACGGTCAGTTTAGCTTCAGATGGTATCAAGGTTGTCTTCATGCAGCTTCTTTTATGGCTAATTCTTTATCTTCTTATGTTTGAAGCGCAAATTCTGTTGCCGCAGTGCTTGCATGTTACTGAGGTGGATCGAAGCTCTGTATTTCCGTTGTTTTCCTTTCATCATATGCACTTCTCAGCCTGGTTGTATCTGAGACAGCTGTCTAACATTATAGTTCTTTCCTTTATCATTTTCCTAGCTGCGTTCCTGTCCTCAGCTATTTCTTCTCAGATGCTGACATTTAATCCAAACTTAGATAAGCTGCTTTTACAGGTGTCTTTGTACCTCAACTTTGAAAGAAATAATTTAAAGCTTCTTAAATAATCAATATTTTCAATAATAAGTAAGTACTACTTGATCGTACCAACTGTTGTAGACAAAAAG